CCTGTCTGCTTTTTCATCACAGTCAGTCACAAAACACTCATCTCACAAAATGGATGTGAGACCCAGAGAAGTTGTGGCTCCTTTGGCTGCCAAAAAGACATTTTGGGAGAAGTTCAACAGACCAGTCTCATTCCCCTCTGTGTGTGTGTGTGTGTGTGTGTGTGTGTGTGTGTGTGTGTGTGTGTGTGTGTGTGTGTGTGTGTGTGTGTGTGTGTGTGTGAGAGAGAGAGAGAGAGTGAGAGAGAGCTCCTGCTGCCTTTGCAGCCATGAACAGATGGAAAGGTGACTTTTTGCCCTGAACTCAGTCTCTCAGGACACTTTCCCTCCAAGACTCTGGACGGCCTCCAGCAACTAAATGAACGCTTTAGATGGTTAAGATTCTAGACTAAGGGCCCCATTCTCAAAACACCATTAGGCTAGGCCAGGTAAGACCCAGCTATCTTCCAACCTGGATTTTTATTGTCATCAGTGTCATTGTTCTGACTTTTTCACATGAACTTTGCACTCACCGGCTCCTTTTTAGAGCCAGGGGAAACTCAGACAAAGCAATGAAGAAGAAGTGTCCCCCTGGATAAGCTATTGTAACAAGCTGCGCAGGGATCGACTGCCAGGTCAGTTTGCTGACAAACCTTCCTGTTCATCAAACAGCGGTTTGTTTACACGTGTGAGGCTGAGGGTTTGCTGGGTTGGAGTTAACATGTGCTCATAGAGAAGCAGCAGCAAACAAGAGAACATTTGTTAGAATATTAAACAAAACTAAGTAAAATTTAATTATCCCCTACAACACAGGTGGTAAAAGCAATATTACCATGGCCAGAAGTTTTTCATTGTGCTACTCAGAGGACAGAGGCTGCCGTGTGCTGTACAGATTGTCAAGCACCCTGAGGCAAATTATCCATTTGTGAAATTTGACTATGTAAATAAAACTGACTCGACTTAGTCCATAGTTATGAGACTAAGACGCTCAAATTTTCCTTTCAGATGTTTTGTGGAATTCAAAAAGCATTTAAGCACCAAGACCAGCTCCAGCTTTGGGTTGGGCTCTCACAGCTGGTTACATTTTGATTTGGTTCATGTTCGGCAAAATACCTGGATTCATTCAGCTCTGTTGCTCACAAATCTCTTATCGTTTTTTGCTCTTCTTTCTTCTTTTTTCCTCTTTTTGTAAAACATTGAAGTAATATCAGCAGGTCCTCAAATGACCAACCCCTCTGTCCTCTTTTGACAGCACCTCGTCGTCCTGGATCCTCTTACTGAGGTTTGTTATAGTATGTTTAAAAGGTTTCTTGGGGAGTTTTTCCTTATCTAAATTAAGGGTGTGGTGTATTCTGTATAATAAGCTCTTTCAGGTAAATTTGCGTCAGTTTGAGTTGATTCTGTCGTGGGTTAAACTTGAACATTCGGTGTCTCATCTGTAAAACCTTTATCTTTACTCAGCCAAAGTTTTAGTTATTTAAAACTTTTATTACCTGCAAATGTTGAAAGCAAAATGTAATTAGATTCGATTAGAGGATTCCAACAATAAATTGCTATTGAACACGAACCTGACTTCAATGTCTGTGAAAAGTCCAGAGGACACCTGAGTGATTAAAAGCTGCTCACAATGAATGAGTCTGCTGCTGCTAATGTGCTTAATTCTGTCAGTGGTTTAGGAAATTGATAAAAGACCTTTGGAAAGGTTTTGGTTTCATTTTGATAGTGGAGCTAGTACGTCTGCAACCACTTCATCAGCAAATCCAGTAACACCAGAGATGAATGTTTGCTTAATTCTCCTCTACCGTGACACTGCAAAACGCAGCTATGCAGCACAGGGGGAAACTGGAGTATCGACAAGAAATAGCTGCAATAAATGAAAAAAAGTAAAACGGATCTTGTGCTGTAGATGGAACACTAAAATTTAACTGTTATCCTCCATGTGTCCTCTTCACATTTTATCACCTAAAGCATGATTTAGGTGTGTTTTCCTTGTCCTCACAGATGCCAGGCTTTGTGGACAGTGTCTCTTCAGATTAGATGTCTAGCTCTTCACCTGCCGGTCCTGTCTCGGGCCGACTCTGCAGAATGTATTGACATTAGATACACAGGTGTGTTGTGAAAACAGTGTGTTCAGGAGGGGAGGGGAAGGACTGCGGCCAATCAGGCAGGTGAATCCTGACACAGCACATTCCTCTGATCTGATTCACAGGAGGGTGGTGGGAGAGTCCATCACAGACACACACTCTATAGATCTGCTCCCCCTCCATCTTTTCAGTTTGACTCAAATATACCTTGACTGTCCAACATCCACATGAGGGACGATCTGACAGTTGATGGAAATGTTCATAAGCTTTGAATTGTAACTGTACGCTCACATCTATTGGCTTTACAAACAGCAGTTAGTGCTTTACTCTTGGTCCTGTGTTTCGTATCTCACGTAGGGTGTCCTAACCATCTGACTGGTGGCAGCTTGACTCCATCTGCATGTTTTTATTTTATTTTTTACAATCAAATGTAAAGAGGAGAAAGGACTGTGCAACCAACTGCAAAGATGCAATATGAGCTAAAGTGGGTATAATCAGTACATTTATATTACATTACCTCAGAGAAGTATCGACCCAAAGCTGCAGCTTTATGGAGACTTTTATCCTCCTTTAGTTCACAAGTTTGGTTTTAATGAACATTTCCTGAATGCCTCAGTGTCAGTGTTGTTTTCAGCAAACACACTCTGATAAACTCACTGCACATCATACCTGCTCGGCACACAGACACGGTTTAGGGACTGGTGAAGAGAGTGGAACATTTAGCAGCTGAACAGCCATATAGGAGTTGGTGGAGACCAAAACCAGAGCCAAGAAAAGTAGAGTGAATACGACTGCTGTTGAAATGTTGTCCTGTGTCCGCTGGATTTGCCGATATGCGACAAATTTGCTAACAGGTTCACTGTATCGAATTTATATGCAATACTATGTCCATGTTGTGTTCATAACTTATTTTCGCTGCCTTCAACCAGCCAAAGAATCAGTTAATGCCGTTCTATGTTGTTTCTATTCATATAACTTAATTATTTTATTAGCAGTGTTAGTGCATTAATAATATAGCAAACTGCAATGCATTTTTAAATATATTTTGCCAGACTATTATCATTATAGAAAACACATTAACTCCTTTTAGTCATATCACTCATATTTGCTCTTTAAGACTTCACCGTTTCCATCTCACCTCTGGAACCAACTCATAAACATAATTTCTAGCAGAGAGGGTCGGGCAGTAAAGTAAGCTGATATCTCGTGCACTGCAGAGACAGATTACTACTGTATACAGGTTTTAGGACACAGCAGTGATGGAGGAAGGATGACAGGTGACTGATGGCGACTTTGGGAACAGATATGAGAGTCGGCAGCTCTCCTTCATCTGCAGTCTGTGTTTTATTGAAAGTGGAGCAGTGTGCTGTGCTGTTAAATGGCAGCTTTAACCACCTCTCTGCCTCTCTGTCATTAGCATAGCGTAGGAGGCAGAGCTGATTGAGTGGCCAGTTGGCAGTTAAAGAGAAATTTCTTTTCAGATTCTTTGCTCATGTTCCTGTGTTTGCATCAGAAAAATTCACCATACATGAGCACAAACAACGGACGTTTATCTCCATCTCTTGTTCTATAATATGTTGTTATGTAAAGATCACATTATTCTAAGTAAGATGTATATGTTTAAATGTATATGCCAGATGGTCAGACTTTAATTATATCATAGGACATGTTTTACAGATTTTCACCTGAACATACCCATCATTCCGCACAATGCCTTTGAGAGGACAAGCATCTGTTCCTCTTGAAGGTTGAAGGTTGGATACATGATCATGATACAAAAACAGCTCAATGCACTCCTATTGTGGCAAACTCTTTGCTGTTTGACTGAGATTCAGTTCAAATCAAACTCAGATTCAATTTTGTATTTTTTAATTGGACATAAATTCTCCTCCTCCCAGGGACACAGAATAAATGAATGACAACAACAAATAAATAAAATTCTGCTCTTCAAAACAGTATTCAGGTTGACTGACTTTTGGGCTTATTTATTTTATTTTTTTTTACCTGCTCCCAAAATTACTCCAATGATTTATTAATTTATTAATAAAATTTTTTTATCTCAAAATTTTACAACCTCTTGAAATATTGTATCTTTATTCTTAAAACATTGCAATTTTTTATTTTTAAATTTTTTTATCACAACTTTATTGTCAAAATACTGTGATTTTTATCTCAATTTTTTTTACTTTATTCTCAGAATATTGTACTTTTCTCTTGAAATATGACAGCTTTTGCTCCATCTGAACATATTCTAGAAATAGTATTTTTTTCTCACATCATTTTCCCCCTCAAAATATATGACCTTTCTGACCTTTTGAAATAGTACAGCTCTATGAAAAGATTTTCTACTTTAATACTTATAACTTGAAATAACATTTTATTGTACAACTCATTCTAGAAATATTAACACTTTTTTAAATCAAAATATTGAAACCCTTTCTGGAAATAGACCATTACTTTTTTTGACAACTATATTCTTTAGATTACAACTCCCTCCTTCTTGATATTGTCCACTGGAAAAAAAGGAGAACTGAATTGAGAGTGTCTCATCATTTGAATTCTTTCCCTTTGGCGGAAATGAGCCTCTATACATTGCTCCTGAATAGATCCAGATGTGGATTTAGATGATCCTTCCTCTCAAGTTTCCAGGGCTTCAGCCTGGATCTTCTCCCCGGGCTTGGTGCTCTCGATAGTTCGGGCTCGGTTTCAGCTTGATTACCTCATTAATTCATAGATCCACCTTAAAAACGGTATAATCCCGGGCTGGTCCCTCCCTCCCTCACTCTCTCGCGGTCTCCAGCACCAGTTCACCTCCCTCTATCAGTTCCCCAGCTCACCAGGAAAAGACGCTGGTCCGGACGTTGGGTCTTTTCTCTGGTCCTGTTTGAATGTGTCGGACCCCCCCCTCACCCCCCTCTCCCCCAGTCCCACCCACCGCTCTGCAACACATACACACTACCAGTGCTCATTTACTGGATCTGCTCTTTGTTATCAGAGCATTTCCCTCCTCTGCTTTTTATTTCAAGAGAGAGAGGGGGGGAGTTTATTTTCCCTTTTACCGGATTGATTTCTGACTGAATCTGGATCTGGTTTGTTTTCCTTCCTCTGGGCTGCCGCTGCAGGGACCAGAGCCGACGCTTCGGCGAATGTAATTACAGTAAAATAAACTGGTGTAAACGTCGGAACAAAGGAACGGTGAAGATTTTCCCCTCACCCGGTGTGTCAATCATTTTTCCCCACCGCAGTTGTCAACTTGGAGCCCTGGCGGGAAATGGACAAACCCCTTTAAACTGAAGACGCTGCTCGCCGCTCACCAACACAACCGCAGGACGTGATTTGGACGAGGATCCCCGGAGTGGAGGTAAGGTCGATTCTCTCTGTCTTTTAAACTTTACTCGCCATCTGTCGGTTTTCTTCCACTTCACTTGTGGCTAAAAGACAAGAAACATGACATCGTTTGTCTGCCAGCGACCGTTAAAGTGAAATTTTAAACGTGTTTTAAAGAGTCTGTCGTGTCCCTAGTTGTCCGCACTGCTTAGCATCCGGGTAACGTTCACAACTGCCGTTTCTTTACCTTGACACCCACTTATTAGCAACTACGGGCGAATTTGGGTTTTTCCACAGGTGTGAACGCACAACTATCCTGTTCAGGGACACTATGACCTCTAATTTATTGTATTCTCTGCAAGATTTATCTCAACAGTGTCTCACATTTCCCCCGGAATCATGTTTTTTACCCGTTTCTTCTCGTCAAACGTCCCGACAGTTAGCTAGGTTACAGCCCCGATACGTGCCTTTCTCTCCTCTGCAGTCAACGCTGTCGAGTCTCCATTCAGAAATGTGGACGTTAAACGCCAACTTACATCGCTTTTTGACAAACCAAAGCGACTGTCAAAGCACACTCGGTGGCATTGTACGATCGTCTGGGATTAAACACACATATAATTAATCGAATATCACTTAATTCTGATATCATAACAACTTTTCAGACTTGTTACGCAGTACTCGCTAGTTTCTGTCGCCTACCGCTGTTATTTTTCCAGCGAGGAGATCGTGAGTGCCTATCAGTTGGTAAAGTTGTTATTTTAGTAAAATAAGATGTTTTTACGTGTAGTGGAAGCATGCCGAATTTAAGAGCAGTTCCAAGTGATTCTTAGCAGGTTTTTACGGTGTATAACATTTTCAATGTTGTAGCTAACAAGGAAAATGAATTTAAATAGTCAGATTCTGCATGGCGCTGTTGTGACGGGTCTCCCCGGGCGGCGCAACGGCACGTATCGACCGTTGCAGTGGCTGCAAGGCAGGAATCAGACCGTATGCGGATGTCTCCGAGTGTCTGGAAACAGTTTGCTCATAGTCTATGTCTACAATGTTTTGTTTTCCGAGTGATATTTCCCTTGGTAACCAAAAGAACCCATTGTCACTAGTAAATCACACGGTCTCCAGGAACTTGATAATAAAACATGCTTCTTTTTTTTCTTCGGCGGACACTGGTTGCCGGGTTGTTGCTCTAGTTTTGATATTATAATGTGTTTCTTGGTATGAGTGGTGTCCTCGCACTGGTGTCATGAATGCGGCGCCTTCAGGGTGAGCTTGTTCAGCTTGTTGGAGTGGTTTCCCCACATTTAGCACTCACATTGTAAATAGCACTTCTGCTTTCCACGCTGTCATACTGACAGGCGGCAAGGAACGAGGGTGGGGATTTTTTTTGTTAGTATTTTCTTTACCGAGCTCGTTTTGTTTTAATTAACGGGCTTTCTGCTCGCGATGAACCATCCTTACGTCATTTGCTGAGATGGGCGGATGAGCAGGAGCAGCTATACTTCTTTTTCCTCCTCTCTTCTCATTTCATCCATCTCCTCCTTCTCCTCCCCCTCCTCCCCTCTTCTCTATCTGGGTGTGTCCTGCCTTATTGCGTTAGGAAGGAGGGGGGATCCCGCATCTTGGCTCATGGTGACTCCTCCTCAGCTTGTGACCTCTAAACGAGGGCATTGCTTCTTCTGTTTTCCTATGCTGCTATTTTACCACACAGAGAAGCTCTCTGCAAAGAAAATCAGTAGCAGGGAAACTTTGGTGCCCGCTTAGAGAAGTAGGTTAAATTTTAGGTGATTCTGAGGGGAGCAATGGCACAGTGACTCTGTTGTTTCCTGGATTCTTAAGGGAAAATGGCTACTTTTGATCACATGTGCTTGTTTTTCACTAATGAATTCATGGTATTTCACCAGCTGTGAGACCACGGGTCTATAATTGACCAAATCCTGCAAAATGCTTTATATCCATTTGAATTTAAAGGAGAAAGCACATGATTAGTGATGCATTGATCTGAATCTGTGTGGGTGCTGGGACCTGACAGAGTCGCATAATGACACAATTTCAGAAACCTTGTGGAGTGATTATGATTACTTCAAAGTTCTTGCACACCACAAAGTCTTACTGATAGACGCATTGGATCAAAACACTTAATTAACCAGTTTACACCCCTCATTTCTTCATCATGTAAGATTCAGAGATGGATTTTAATAAAGTCAGTGCAGATGATCATCGAAGAACATGATTCTTTGTGTTTCTTCACGGGACAATGTATTAAAATTTGAACAATCCTATGTCGACTGTTCAGGATTCCCCTCATGAAATGGTTCATCTGAGGTTGTCTGCCACTCAGATCCTGATGCATCTTGTCTTGCGATATAATTAGTTAATAGATGATCGCCTGAACAGCAGCTACACTAATGGCATTTGCTGTGTGAAATGGCACCTCTGCTCTTGTTCCCTGAAGGTTAACAGTTTAATTTTAATGAAAGCATATTTGTTTTTTATGAAGTTAACAGAGGTGGTCTTTACTTGATGTTAGGTAGGCTATGGCATATCTGGCTTAACTAGAGCTGAAAAGATTAGTTGATTAATCATTAGTTGATCGACAGAAAAATAATTGGCAACAACTCTCTTGATCAGTTCATCATTAAAGTAATTTTTCAAGCAAAAATACAGAAAATTCCATCATCTAGAGAGTAAATAGTTGCCGCTTTTCTCAGTTTCATATCACTATAAAAGAAATATCTTTAGGTTGGTCTGTTAGGACTGTTGGTCAAATAAAATAAGACATTAATGTAATGACATCACCTTGAGCTCTGGTTAAACTGTGATTGACATTTTTGATGAGTCAGTTAAACAAGAAAGTAATAACCAGAATAATTGGTCGTAAAAATAACTGTCTTGCAGTCCTAAAGCTAGAATTATGCTTCTGTTAAGATGCACATAAACGTTTTTGCAAAAAGAATGTGTGGTGTCGACCTGCATGTCAAGCAAATGGACTGGTTGATGTTGTGATCTTTTTCTTTCAGAGTTTGCATGTACGTTTTAGCAGGGTACTGCCACAAGTGATCTTCTCGCAGAGATCTTCTTCTGCAGCCTCAGAACTGAGTCAGCCCAGTGATCCAGATGAGACAGGGCTAGGAGGGGGGAGCAGGGAAAACACAGCTTCAGGTGTGCACACTGGCACTTCACAATGTTATGAGTGCAAAGGATAGAATACGGTTTCACTTTTTAAGGTAGGACTCTCCTGGTACATTTAAGTGTCCAACTCTGCCACTGTGGATGTGTGTGCATGTGTGGGTGTGTTAGCACATTGTGTGTGCAGCAGCCTCTTGTTTTCCGTATTTTTGCTTTCGAGAATCATGGAATGTCTTTGATATTGGTACTGACTACCAAATTTCTTGTATCGTGACATTGCTTTCAGGAATTGTTGGGTCTCATTATTGGCAGTGTAGCAATGAAAATGTATTGGTGTTAAAAAGAGAAAGTGAGAGCAGTATTGAGGTGAGTATGACATGTTGTACTGAGCTGAGTGAAGGTTTATTTCATACTGAATTTACCATGTGAACCATGTAGTTGGCTACAGGGGATTTCACCCCTGATTGTTTATTCACCAAGCCTGTATTTGCTCGCGCTGGCCACACCCTAGCTGTTATTTGAGACTCTGCCGTTATTTGAATGCCAGTTTTGCTATGAAAAGTTTACATTACAAAAGCTTGCTGTGATGGAGTATATGCTGGGATTGGCTGAAGCCCCCTTATACTCTGTACAGGATAATGGATAGGCATGGATAATAAATGGATGGATGGTGCCAGCTATGGTCTGCAGTTGAAATTATCCTAATGAATAATGTCTGAAAATAATGCATCACGATCCCTTCCCAGATGAGGACACAGTCAGGTTTACCTGCAGACAGATGAGTGCCCTGTTTGTGTCTGAAGCTGCTGCTGAGGTCCTGATGAAGAGACAGGTGCTGACTCAGTGTGTCTGTCCTCTTAACGTCCTCCAGGAGGTTCAGGCTCCTTCAGCAGGAAAAAGAAGAATCGGTTTGATATTTCATTGTGATTTATTTATAGAGATTAGTCAGAATATGTACTGAAGATGCTCTTTATAATCTCAGGTGTCACTCTCACCTCTGTTACTTGTTACCAATGCTCCAGGTGGTGTTACTGGAGAGATTATAAAGTGTTGAGCTTTTTTTATTATTCATGATTTCTTTGACAAACTGAAATAGAGTTTAATAGAGTTTTTAATGATACTAAACAGACAAAAGCTGCAAATACTTGTTTTTCTCATTATAACAGCAAGTGCCTAGTATTTTTGAATAAATTATTAAATAAATTATTAAATGACTGAGGTGAGACCTGACTGAGGTTCATTTGTTATGACCAGCTGGACAAATGTCTCTGCATCTACGTTAGTTTCAGAGTAGATATCAGGAAAAATGGACCTGTATCATCGGCTTCTGTTGTTTGCTTAATTGTCTGTGATTGAGTTCATCTCATGTCCTCTGGTAAATATGTTTTTATTTTGAATTTTGAATTGATCTGTCAGTTCTGTGTGCATGATCAAACTGCTCCCCCCAATGAGCATTAATGAAGTTTAATCTTTAAGTTTTTTTCTCAACTTCATTGTAAAGCAGTGATTTTCCTACATTTTCCAGAAGGGACTTTACTTTTTAAAACTGTTGATGGAGATGTTTTGATATGTACATCAGTCTGTTTACCCATTAGGTTAAAAAAAAAATGTTGTCAAGCCACCAAATTCACCAAAACACACATTAACAGCAGCGGTGATTTTAATGAGTATGTGGTTTTCAGTGGAAATGGGTTTGACATGTTGACACCTCAGACCAACTGCAAACAAGTGTGTTACTGTGATCTCAGTGGTTCAGACCTTCAGACCCCAGATTGAGTCCAAACTCTCTGGGGCCAGATTTACAGATCAAAATGATCTGTTTCCTCTCTCACTGCTGAACTCTGAACGGTTGAGTGATGATTCTCATGTTGCTTTTTACAGTCTGTCAAATTTTGAAACTGAAATTACATA